TCTTATTTTGTTTTTGGGTCTGTGCTCAGTGGATCATATGTGGAACGTGGGATTCAAACTGGATGTCAGCACATTCATGGCAAGCACCTAATCTCTATAACACCAAATACCAAAATTTTTAACGTGAGGCCTGTTGTGTTTTGTTTTTGTTTTTGTTTTTTTCCCTCTGCCACCATTGATTGATGGTGAATTGGTTTAGTCTCATGTGGTATCTTCAGGTATTTCTTCTAAATATATCTAATGATTTTTTTTTCCGTGTATCTTCAGTTTCTCCCCAGAATAGTCAGAAGTTTGCTAGGTAGCACATTATTTTCAACATGTGCTTATCATGAATACTCACTACATCTGGGTTTCCTATTAAAATTTTCTATGCAATGAATTCTCTTTCAGAGTGAAAAATTTTCTAGGATTTGTTCACTCCTCCCACACTGTCATACAGTGGCAAGATTAATGTTTTATTGTTTGATGTTGAATCATTATTTTTAAATTGTTTAATTGGGGAGGGGGCACCCAGATGTGCTCAGGGCTTACTCCTTCCTCTGTCTGTACTCAGAGATCACTCCTGGCAGTGCTTGGGGACCCATATGGTATATCAGGGTTCAAATCGAGGTTGGCTGTGTGCTAAGCAAGCACCCTACTCAATGTACTATCTCTCTTGCCTCTATTTTTAAACTTGTGTTATTTTGTTTTATTGTAGTCTTGTTAACAATAGTGCTTTTATGTTCTTATGTACAAAGATCCTTCATCTTCACTACCACCAAGTGCTCAAGACTCTTCCCCCATTGTCTTCACATTCTTCTAGTCTGCCTCTTTTACTTCTCTCCCTACTCCCACCCCCATTTCTTGGGAATTTTTGTTTACAGGATTTGGACAAGCTTTGTCATCATTGGATAGTATTTAATTCCTTATTTTGTTTCCTTGTGTACCTCTGATGAATTAGATGCGTTGATACTTTTGTTTTTAGCTTTTCTTTCGCTTCTGTCTTTAGCACACTTATTCGTACTGATGTTACAGTCCAGTTCTCTAAGTGGTAGCTCTCTTTTTATGTGATTCATAACACAGAATGGGCTATGAGTTCTCCAATTATAGAAACTACATCTTAGAGCTTATTTAGCATATTAACATCAACCCTTTTGCATGACAGCACCTGGCACATAAATGGCACTTAAAAATTTCTAAAAGATTTTCTTCTATAAGGATTTGTTCTGACTTGATTTTATGCCTTGTTCAAAGAGCTAAAATTTTGTTTGGGGCTCTTAGTTAATGTCTGTTGTGTTTGGGGCTATTTCGTCCTGTGCGTTAAAGTGTGTAGTTGCATCCTTTCCAAACACTGATTTCTTTATTCCTCTTTAATATGATATGCTCTTTGAATTATTTCTAGATTAGCATGAAAATGATATATTTTCAGTAATTAACGAAGGTATTAGAAGAGGCCATTGGGACTCCCAGATCTGCCCACGTCTGCCCTTAGTCTCTGGAGAATGGCATTCCATTGTTATCTTTTCTCTTGATGTCTTAAAATTCAGTTGCCGTGCCATTGCTGGCATAGAAGTGCCAGCCATGCACTGAATTAGACAGATTACGAATACACACACTTTATGAGACAAAGAACGATCCATACTGGGTGGGCATGTTCTGAGATTGCCCCGGGTACCAGAGAGGAGAGCCACTTCACTCAAACCTCTAGACAAGGCAATGTTCGGGGAAGGTGGTCAAGAAAGGCACTAAGAAAGAGTCATTTCTGAAGAAATCCATGAGACATCCATAGAGATGATCAAGCCACAGGGAAGAAGGAATTTTTGTCAGTGAAAAGCAAGAAAGAATAAAAGAGATGAAGAGCGTGTTGTATTCAAGGGTGGCCAGGGATGAGGTTACTTGGAATCAGGAATTCAAGATGAAGATTCTGTCTGAGCACCCAGTTGGAATCAGAGCTTACCTCAGTGGCCTTAAAGACTCTTGATCTAGTGCCCAGAACGTCTTGTCAGTTGTGGATCAGTAACTACCCCTACTTACATTTTCTGCCTAGGATTCTTATGGTGTGGTAGTTGTAAGGGCATTGTGGTACACTGTCAGAGTTTGGGTCTTTGCTCTGTCACTTAGGTACTGTAAGACTGAGAAACTACTCATTCTCCTTGTCACTAGTACAGAGATAATAGTAGTCCCCTTTTTTCTTATAGGGATAGTTACAGAAGTTTAAAGAGATGTTATTTTGTGATTGGCACTCAGTGTCACCCCACAGATAAACTAATATACAGTCCTGTGGTGAAAGTAACAAACCTGCTCTTATGGGATTTCACCTTGCAGAATGCCCATATGCTTTTCAAAAACAATTTCCTTATTTTAAAATTAATATTTTTATTGAGATAATGTTGTTCTACAAGGCTGTGTATATGTTTTAGCAGTACAATTTTACAGCCCTTCAAAATCTGATATCGCTCTGCACTCATCTTCAAAGTATCCATATTCCTCTGTTACAGGCCATTGGACTTCCTTCCCCCTTTGAGTCATATCCCATTCCCCAGTTGCAGTTAGAGTCTCAGTGTTTGTTTTTGTTTTGCCTTGTGTCTTTGGCTATTCTCTTGTTTTGCTTCTCCATAATCCTGCATAGGAGTGTGGTCATTTGATAGCTGGATTTATTTATTTATTTATTGGGGCGGGGGTGGGGGGAGTGTTCATTTCAGCTTCTTGCACTTGGCAGTACTACCACTATTGGGTCAATGCTGTTTCAAAAGGCAGGATTCCCTTTTACAGCTGAATGGTATTCTATTGTGTATCTGCTACATCTTCTTTATCCTTGTCTTTGGTTGGACACTTGAGTTTTTTTTTTTCATGTCTTGACTATTGTAAATAGTACTACAGTGTTCATAGATGTGTACATATCTTTTGTCCTTAGTGTTTTTATGTGCTTTGGATGGATGCCTAAGATGGGAATTTGGGATAATATGGGGAGAAGACTGAATAAACAATTTACCAAAGAAATAACAAACAAGTGGCCAACAGGCACAGGAAGGGAGAAAAAACTCATTAAATTATCTTATTATCAGGGAATACAAATCAAAATAATGAGATTTCATCTTACACCTGTAAGAATGGCCTGTATCATAAAGCTAGGAATAGCAAGTTGTTGGTGGGAAAACATATGCAAAAGAACCCTCATTCACTGTTGGTGGTAATGAAAATTGGTTTAGCCTTTATGGAAAACAGTTTAAAAATTCTAAAATGTTAAAAATTGAATTAAATTATATTTTGTTTGTTACATGTTCTGCCTTTTTTGTTTATTTAATTTGTTGAGAATAAAGTGGGTTTGTCAGGGCTGGAGCGATAGCAGAGCGGGTAGGGTGTTTGCCTTGCACGCAGCTGACCCGGGTTTGATCCCCGGCATCCCATATGGTCCCCTGAGCACTGCCAGGAGTAATTCCTGAGTGCAAAGCCAGTAACTCCTGAGCATTGCTGGGTGTGACTCAAAAAGGAAAAAATAAATAAAGTGGGTTTGTCTGCTCATTCTTCCTTCTAAACTAATTCTATGCAGATTTTCTTAAAAATTGTAAGTTTTAGATTTCAGGATGCAGAGCATATTAGAAGCGAGGAATGAGGCTGGAAGCTGTTGGTGATGGTGTTAAGTCTTTCCATCTGCTGCAGAGTAAGGATTGAAAGGAAAAGTCAAGGGAGATGTTTGTTTCCAGGGGTTCTTCAGTTGGTATTTTAATCTAGGCTAACAAATTTAATTTCATATACCTGGAATCTGTATAGGATAATCTTAAGCCCTCACTGTTTCATAGTATATTATCTTTTGAAAGGTTTTGAAATAAATACATTTGCTGTGATTTCAAGGTATTCACCCAAAGTGAAAATTTTACTTGACTCTCTAACCTCTGATTAGCAGGGAAATCTTCCAGAAATGCTGGTTTCCAGGACCTTCCAGCACTTGCCAGAATCAACTTGCCCTCAAATTCAACTTAAAAATTCTGGGATCCTTTCACCAACACTGTCTTTACAACTACTTCATTTAATACTTTCCTAAATATGCATTTTTCTGCTGGCTGCTTATGTAGACTAGCATGCTGATAGCACTCAAAACACTTGCTTTTATTTTTTATTTTTTTGAGATTGCTTTTTTAATGATGTCAATTATGATTGTTCTGGCAAGTAAGTTGTTTAAATATAGTCTCTCTTTCATAAATAGAGCCCTAGAATTCTTGTATAGATTCATGATTTTATTTTACCAAAATAGAAGCACTTAATGTAATCTAAAATGAAACAAAGTAAGGAAGACCATTATTTATTTCTTAACATTATTTCTTACAAAAGTATTGCTCTTGAGTTTTGATTTTTGTCTGCTGTTTCCTTTCCTTTGGGAAGAGTAAGCTCTGAAACTATTGAAGGTACATGTCTATTTTAGACACCATCCTGATTTCTGTGACTGTGTGTGCAGAAGCAATAAGATTTAAGGTTTCAATTTTTGGATCATGTGATGATTTTTGTTATAATTAATTCAAATTGTCTCATCTTTCCATTCGATGAACATAAGTATGTTCATGGGTGATCTTTGAGTACTGCACTTATGTTGTTTCTATGGAATTAAGTTCAATAAATATACAATTACATAACCTATGTTCAAAATTCTGTGTTTTTTCTCTGAGAATATGGATACTTTTTTATCTTTCAACCAATTTCAGCCTGAGAAAACAAAACAAAAAGAATTGTTCTTTCCATTCTATTTTATATTTTAATAGATTGGATTGTGTGTGTGTGCGTGTGTGTGTGTGTGTGTGTGTGTGTGTGTATTTCTGACCAAGGAGTTAAATTTTTTGCACTTATTTCTTTGTGCACAAGAAGATTCTATACCTACAAGTATATTCTGTTTAAATAATTTGACAGGAAGTCTCGTGGAAGGTAACCATTTCTGGTAAATACAAGTATTTGGCAGACTATATATAGAAACTGGCATTTATCTGTGCTCAGATTTTAACTTTTGTCTCCTTGTTTTTTTTTTTTTTCAGTTGTTTTTATTTCAGTTGCTGCGAGGGCTGTCTTACATCCACCAGCGTTATATTTTGCACAGAGACCTGAAACCACAGAACCTTCTGATCAGTGACACGGGGGAGTTAAAGCTGGCAGATTTCGGTAGGAAAGCAGTTAATTACCAGTCTATTTTGTCCCACTGTGAGAATGCCAGGCAGATGGTGGTACTGCATTTGTTTAAACGCATTTCTTTTATCATTATAGATCATGATAAATTTCGTGGGGGGTGAAGGAATTTTTTCCATTCCTTTTATTTTTTTTCTTGATAACATAATGCTTGGTGAATTTTTAAAAATCCAGATTGCTTGTTAGAATCTTAATCATAGAAATGAATCATGTCTCGTGTATTTTCAAAGAAAAAGTCAGTAAAATTTTAAGCATAAAGTATATCCGAAGAAGCTGATTTTTCCATTTATATTGTGAGAATATCAGACACTCAAAAATAGTATAGCATAATAATCTTCTTATCACACATCCTCATAACTAAAACTATATTGTTATGGTTTGAAAAAACCTGAATGCATACCTCTGAACTTTTTCAAAGTAGCACAAAATATACTTAATACTGTATGTTGCCTGAGACCTTTTATTTTGAGGAGGAAATTAAGTTTTTGAGCCAATAACATCTCTCTCTCTTTTTTTTTAATAAAAGTGAAAACAGAACAAAAAACCTTAAACAGGGCCAGACTCATAGCACATTGGGTAAGGCTCATTCTTTGTATGAAGCTGACCAGGGTTCTATCCCAGCACCCCACCAGAAGTGATCCCTGAATGCAAAACCAGGAGTAAGCCCTAAACACCACTATGTGTGTCCCAAATCCCACACCTCCAAAAAAAAAAAAAAACCAACAGCAACCCTTAAGCAGTCTATGGGGTTGTTAGGTTGTTATCCTTTCTAGAAGTGACGAAAAGTAGGCTATGGCTATGTCACGAGTCCATGAAAATCATCCCTTCCAAATATCTTTTTAGAGTGGCCTCTTGCTCCTTAGAAACTTGCCTCCAAACACTGTATTAAGCATCCGAAGAGTGGCAAAGCTATTTTACCATGTTGGCTGTCTCCTCTCCCCTTCATCAAATATGACATTTTTGTGTTTCCCTGTTCTCTGTCACAGCAGTGTGAGTGCTAAGTTGGTTCCAAGGCCTGGGGAATGCTGCTGGCAGCCTGACATGTTGACACTGCCTTGCCTCAGTTACTTTTGAATACATATTCTGATTAGAAATTTGTTCCATTAAGAGTGAAATGGAAATATTACTCTTGAGACATAAAGAGGCCTGAGGTTGAGATATGGGCTTTGCTGAGAAATGATTAACTTTTCCCACCCCAGCTCCAGTAAATGAGACAGGGCAGGAAATTATTTTTTTCTTATTTAAAGGTTAGGCTGTTGAATACCTTTTGTCATAAATGTACTAAGCTGGATTTTGAATATTCATTTCTTCTAATATTGAAGTAAAACAAAAATTACCATGACCAGTGATATATTACAAAACTGCCATTTGTTCTTATTTAGTTTGGTAAAATGATAAAACTGTGTCTGTGTGTGTGTGTGTGTTATTACCAGATATTGGTATCAGAATAATTAATTCAAGGTAGTTAGATGTACATTCTGTTTATATAATGTTTGCAAATAATGGACGTAAGTGTATGGAGAATAGATTTGTAGTTCTTCCAGTTCAAGATTATTTATTGGCTTTGCTGTGAAAATGTTTTGCATTTGCAGTTTCAGTAGATTCTCAAAGAGCAGAATTTATAGTGATTGTCTTCCATTCTACACTGTGTATGTGGAATAAGTCATTGTATTAACCACTTGTGTTAAAGGTGGTTTTCTTTTTTTTTTTTTAATTTTTATTAGTGAGACACCATGAGGTACAGTTGTAGACTTACAAATTTGTGCTTGGGTTTCAATTATACAATGATCAAATACCCATCCCTCCACCAGTGCCCATTTCCAGCCACCGTGGATCCCAGTATCCCTCCCACCCCACATCCCCTCTATCCCACCCTGCCTCTGTGGCAGGGCATTCCCTTTTGTTCTCTCTCTCCTTTTGGGTGTTGTGGTTTGCAAGAGGCAATGGGTGTCAATCATGTTTGGTCTATAGTCTACTTTCAGCATGCTTCTCCCATCCTAAAGGTGGTTTTCTTAAGCAGTTATAAAATACTTTTTGGGTGGCTGTTTTAGTTCATACTCAGCAGTGTTGAGAACTTACTCCTGGCTCTGTTCTCAGGGTCTACTCCTGGTATGGCTCAGGAAACCAGGTGTGATGCCAGGGATTGAACCTGGGTAGGCCACATGAAGGCAACTGCTTCACCCAGTATTATTTATCTGGCCCCAATAAACTATGATTTTACTAAGTTGATTTTGTGTATAATTACCAGAACTATAATAGCATTAGAATTTTATAATGGACATTTTAATTATAATCGGTAAGTTCATGTAAAAATATTTTCAGAGTTCTGAAAACTTAAACTTTAAATATAAAATTCAAAAGTACCTTGAAATATTGAATATCTTAGAGATATTTTTCTTTAAGAAAAGTAGAAAACTTAGAAAGCATAAGCAACTCAGAAAATAAGAATTAACATTTTCTGTTTTTTTTTTCCCAGAACCTGTCTCCTTTATCTTCTTTCTTTGTCCACTTATATAGTCTTTTTAAAAGGAGACATTATTTTGTAAGCAGTTATATTATAATATGTTGTGAACATTTTCTCATGTTATTAAATACTGTGGAAAAAATCTCTAACTGCTTAGTTTTTTTTTTCTCTAATGGCCCAATAAAGAGACTGTTGTTTATCATCTCCAATCAATGACATTTTAGCTATTCCTGATTGCTCTGGGTTGTACATGGTCTGCTCTTTTATGCCTTTATCTAGAAAGTTGTATATGTAGCCATCGCTGTGTGGCTCAACATTTAGAGCTTCTGATTTTTTGGACCAGCCTGCTCTGCTGAAAGATTCTGTCCTATATCTCCCTTGGTGTCACATGCTGAATCTTCTGTCCGGAAATATACACTTGGCATGCATCCTGTGAGCAGAGTGTAATAAGCAAGAGCATTTCACCAGTTGACAATCTCCCCCAATTAATTGTGCATTGTTTTTGTCTTTTAATTTAAGACATGCAATTAACTGTGATTTACTGTGCTTGGGCACGTGTCTGTGTCTGAAATGAAGGAAACAGTGCAAGCTGCACAGAAGCAAGATAGTCAAAATGGTATGGTTCCAGGCTGCAGAACAATTAAAAACAGTGGGTCTTATTCAGGGTTAGATGGATGAAAGCTACAAAAACAGTTTCTTTGTCCTACAGGTTATTATTTGGGACTTTTTAATAAATATTTTAATAAAATATTTTAATAAAATAAAATATTTTAATAAATATTTTAATAAAATATTTTAATAAAATAAAATATTTTAATAAAAATTGGGGGGGTCTTTCTCCACCCAAGAGATTTCTTTGTCTTGTAGGTTTCTCTAGGATGGAAAAAGACCCCCAAGTTTTTATCAAAAGAGACCTGTGCAATCTGTATAATGACAGTTTTCATCCTGTAAATGCTGTCACTGTCACTGTCACTGTCCTCCTGTTGTTCATCAATTTGCTCGAGCGGGCCCAGTAATGTCTCCATTGTGACAGTTGTTACTGTGTTTGGCATATCGAATACGTCATGGGTAGCTTGCCAGGCTTTGCCATGCGGACGAGATACTCTCGGTAGCTTGCCGGGCTCTCTGAGGGGGTGGAAGAATCGAACTCAGGTCGGCCATGTTGGCTGCTTGCAAGGCACACGCCGTACCCTCTGTGCTATCATGTTTTTAATTTTAGAGCCTTAAGATCAGAGAGGATGAGAAACCAGTAGCTGTTTAACAAAGCTGGGATTCAGATAGTTGATCTATATGCTTCAATCTCAGATGGACTAGAGTCCGTTTATTTATACACATAGATGTATTTTACCTTACAGAGCTGTTAATTGCATGTCTTAAATTAACAGACAAAAACAATGCACAATTAATTGGGGGAGATTGTCAACTGGTGAAAGGCTCTTGCTTATTACACTCTGCTCACAGGATGCATGCCAAGTGTGTATTTCCGGAAAGAAGATTCAGCATGTGACACCTTTACTTACCTTAGTCAGCTCTGTAAGGTAAAATTGAAAAATTGATTGGTCTTTATATCCTTTTAAGTTTATGTCTGTATAACAAATATGGTATCTATGCTTTGAAATGAGATTGCATTAATATGAGAAACTATGCACCATTTTTTTTTTTTTTTGGTTTTTGGCCTGCACCTAGCGGTGCTCAGTGTAATCCTTTCTCTGCGCTCAGAAATAATTCCCAGTGGTACCGTGTGTTGGACCATGTGTTTCCAGAAACATATCTAAGGCCTCGTGACATATAGCACGTATGCTCAGCCTGCTGAGTTGTGTCTGAACCTGCATCACTTAATTTAAAGATCATGTTGGCATTTGACAAATTCAAAAGCAGTAAGTGAGTTCAGTAAGTAAGTGAGTTCAGTAAGTAGAATGACAGTTTGATAAATATAAAGACTTTGAACATAAGGCTGCTTAATATATACACAAGTAGACCTCTTTATTATTAATCATTGGCATGTAAAACTCACCAGTAAAATTATAATTATAAATTTAAGATTAAATACAGCATAAGCTGAAGGTTGGGGTGTAATATGTGAGGGTTGCCTGTAGGATTCAGGTTATTTTTATCTTTGTTTTAAGATATATATTTTATTTATTTTTCATTTGGAGATTTTTACCTGCTGCTATTGGTAAATCAGATGATAATTTATTTGTAGAGGCTTTTAGTCTTAAAGGAAGTACAGTTCTGAAATCTCCAGATGGTCAAAAAGTAATGGAGGCTATTTTTACTTCTTGTTAGTAAAGTCATTTTTAAGTATGTACCTGAGCTTTATTTCCTTTATGAATAAGTAAATTGATCACCATTTAGAGTCCCTCTGATTTGCCTAATACTGAACTTTTTCCAGCCCATAAGATTAAAATGCAGAGGCACTTAATGCGTTTCTAAAGGTGGGTTTGTCTTTAGATTTTCTATTATAATAAAAGGTTTCAAATCTCCATTCAGCCTATATCTTCTCCCCCGTCTC